TATCATCTTCAAGAATTGATTTAGAAACTTTAAGCAAAACCAAATAAAAATCTAAAATTTATATTTAGAAAAGAACATATATATATATATATATAGTAACTAATAGTATTATATAAATGCATGATAAACTATTCAAGAATAGAAGCATATAATCTTTTAGTATCTATATATATATACACACACTACCCAAAAATGGATGCATATATAAATATTTTGTATATTTTTTGCTAATATTTGTTTTGTGAAAAAAAATATATTTTTAAAGATATTTTAAATTTTAGAAGAAACATAATTATATTTAGAAATAATACAATAAATAAAATCAATATATCAAAGAGATTTTAACCCGATTTCAAGATATTATAAATGCTAAAAATACTCTAAAATTAAAGTAGGAAACAAAATGGTATGAACTAAAAATAACACGTACAAGTTTCAAGATAATATAGTTGTAATTACTATTAATCCACCAAAATATATATAACAGATAAGTTAAAATATAAAAAATAAAATCGTATTCAGAAATCATACAGTTAAAAAGATAGAATTATTTCACCAAATTTAAAGATGATATTATTGAAATTAGTCAAAAAATAATTTTAAAATTCTAACTGAAAACGTCATAAACGTATCCAAATATAGAAATAAGATATCTTAAACTCAAAACAACATATTAAAAATAATAATGAACTTTAAATATATAATGGTGATTAACATTGATCAACTTCTACAATAGCCTTTTGGCGATATATATGTTAAATGAAGATCATATTATCAAATGGATATCGGTACTATACTAAATGTTGGTTCTCTTTTATTTATATATACAGATGTATTCGTTTCATTTTCAAACATAGTATTTTTAAATTAAGTATTCTTTTGTGATTATTTTATTTCCACGAATGATAATAGTTTAGTAAAATACCGTATTGAACAAAATTATCTTTTTTAGAAACCAATCAATAGTTGTCTTATTTTTATGATTATTTTTTTAATTTTTTTTGCTCGTAACGGTTCAACTTTCGCTAATGTTGTCTTGTTTTCACTAACAGACAATATTTTTATCGAAATATCAGTAACCAACTAATGTAATATGTGTAAGTTATTAAAAACATGTTAAAACTTGAAGTAAAATTATATCTCTAGCACCTTTAAATATAAAATACTATTAAATTACATCCTATAAATAAGATTTCGAGTCAAATTTTTATGTACCAGATACAGCTCTCTTATATCTTTTTAACAAGTACATATAAATGAATGAAATAATTATTTTATTATTAATTTATTTAGACGAATAAATTATATATGTTATAAAATAATTTTTTTTTGTATGTCGTGTAAGTAATTGTGAAGGAAACAAAGAATCATACATTAGTTTTAGAATTAATTACATGTTAATTATCTTAAAACTTTTAATTAAGACATAGTTCCACCCTTATATTTTATGTGATTAATTATTTTTTTCCCTCACTAAACTAGTTTAAGCTAATTTTTTTTTTTTTTTCAAATAATCCGAAGGTGATGTAATAAATGAGTCATCTTCTATCTACATTTGTCTCTTAGCACAACCTCCTTGTCTCATTGTCCTTAATATAAAGAAGAAAGTACCAAGTGGTTGGTGTATGGCTTGGAAAATAACAACAAATAGTGGATTTGGAAGCACATATAAAAGTTCTCCTTGCAATTCCCACTATCACCCACTAAGAAACAATCAATATTGTTGCTTTGCTTTGTTAGGGCATGTTTGGATATATACTGTATTCCCAATATAATACCAAGTTTTAGCCAGCTCTTATTCCCATCCACTTCACTTACAGACAAACAAAGATGTCAACTTTAAACAAAATCTTTTAGAGACAAGCAGACTGCTATCAATGGACACCAAGGAATTCCATATTCCTCTGCAAATCCCTCCTCCCAAACGACAACAAATTGATGCAGACAAAACCAACCTCTTGTTTTATCACCAAAGCAGCCATGGAAATGCCTTTCAAGTTTACACCTTTATTTTCAATGACTCTATACCTCAAACCCTGCACTTCAACCGCTTTGATGGATTAAGGGATTCTCTGTGTCTGCAAGACTTGAACTTTTTTTTATGGGTTTTTGATGAATTTCAAAACCCAGTTGGAGATTCTAACTTAGTTGTGTGTTTTGATAAGGAATTCGACTTTTCTGGGTAATATTCCTTGTCTCTCTTTCTCACTTTTCTTCTTTTAGTTGCTTGAAGTCTATAGATGTTTGGGACAGTGGATTACCCCAGTTGAGATTTCTTTGTTTATTTTTGTGTAGGAAGTTAATTATTCTCTGCTTTTTTGGTTGTAAGGTTCTTCTCCCTTTTGCTCATGTTTGGTGGCTCAGGAACTTTTTAAGCATAATACATGTGAAATACTTATGGTTGATTAACATTGAAAGTTCTTTCCTTTCATGGTTTGATTCTCTTTCCTGCTCTGTTTAGTTTGTGGGAGGAGTTTTGGGAACAGCATAAATTGAGTTTCCTAATATAAATTTCTACCAAAGAAAGAAAATCTTAGTTGTTTTAGTTTCTCAGCTCCATATAATTTTTTGATTTGACAGGCTTGAATTCTTAGGTGATAGTCACAACAGACATGGAAAAATGGAAAAATGTTCATGTTATATTTTCTCTCTTCCTCAGCCAACAAAAAAAAAAAAAGATTGGTCTTTTAAATCTTCTTTGACTTGTAAATCTCTTCACTATCACTGATATAGCTATACTGTGAGATTTGGATGTCGGAAACTTGCTATGCTGCTATTGTAGATTGATATAAATGAAACTAAAAGAAACCATAACTTAACAGGCCTAATTTTTTCTTCTTAAGCTAGTTGTCTCTCGATTTAATATGATTCGTTGGCTCTTCGGAAATCAAATGGTCTAAAGATAATAATTCTTTTGGCTCGTGGTCGGTTTGGTAATTGAGTTCTGTGTGGATGCTATCAAGTTAAGGTGTCAAAGTTACTTGTGGCATATAAGGAGGTGGGATAGAATCTTGTTATATACCCATATAACAAGGTGTACAAGTATTGTTGATTGATTAGCATTGTTTCTTGTCTGATTCTAAATGCTATTCCTATGATTCTCAGATTCTCATTTCAGGACATATAGTTCAGATTTTGAAGTTGATGGAAGGAATGGGTCAAGAGGAGGGATCATCTTCTGTAACTTCTTCACCACTTCAGTTCTTCTCCATGATGTCACTGTCACCTGGTATTGGCTCACCGTACCCTTGGCTGCGGGAACTGAAGTCAGAAGATAGGGGCTTATGTTTGATTCATCTTCTTGTTGCTTGTGCCAATCACGTGGCCGCTAATAACATTGAGAATGCAAATATTGGCCTTGAGCAAATTTCCCACCTTGCATCTTCTGATGGTGATACCATGCAACGGATTGCTGCTTACTTCACTGAGGCTTTTGCTGATAGGATGCTCAAAGGATGGCCCGGTCTGCACAAAGCCCTTAATTCGACGAAAATAATATCTATATATGAGAAAATTCTTGTTCAAAAATTGTTCTTTGAGCTGTGTCCTTTCCTAAAGCTTGCTTATGTCATCACAAATCAAGCAATTGTGGAAGCCATGGAAGGGGAGAAGATGGTACATATCATTGATCTCAATTCTTTTGAGCCTGCTCAGTGGGTTAACCTTCTTCAAACATTAAGTGCAAGGCCAGAAGGACCACCCCATTTGAGAATTACTGGCATTCATGAAAAAAAGGAGGTGTTAGAGCAGATGGCTCTCCGGTTAACAGGAGAAGCTGAAAAATTGGATATTCCATTTCAGTTCAATCCCATAGTCAGCAAACTAGAGAATCTTGATATCGAGAGTTTGCGTGTCAAAACAGGTGAAGCACTTGCTGTCAGTTCTGTACTTCAGCTACATTCTCTCTTGGCAAACGATGATGATATTCATCAAGGGAAGTCACTATCCACGTCAAGTAACTTGCGAAAAGTGTTGCAAGTGAACCAGCGGACTTTAGGAGACTGGCTTGAGAAAGATGTCCTTGTGTATAGTCCAACTGCTGATTCACAGAAAATGGGAAGATTTCTTAGTGCCCTTTGGGGCCTTTCGCCAAAACTAATGGTAATAACTGAACAGGAATCAAACCATAATGGATGTACATTAATGGAGAGGGTCATGGAAGCACTGTACTTTTATGCTGCACTGTTTGATTGCTTGGAGTCCACTGTATCTAGGTCATCAGTAGAGCGACAAAAGGTGGAAAAGATGCTTTTCGGAGAGGAGATTAAGAATATCATAGCATGTGAAGGTGTTGAAAGAAAAGAGAGACATGAGAAACTGGAAAAATGGATTCTGAGGCTTGAATTAGCTGGGTTTGGGAAGGTACCTTTGAGTTACCATGGAATGTTGCAAGCAACAAGATTGTTGCAGAGCTATGGATACGATGGGTATAGGATCAAAGATGAGAATGGATTTTTACTTATCTGCTGGCAAGATAGACCTCTCTTTTCGGTTTCAGCCTGGCGATTCAGAAGGTACAATTAAGGTTATAGGCTTTGTTTATGGGTTCGCCTCTTTTTTCTTTTTCCCTAAAAATTTCTTTTTGCTTTTGTATAAAGGATCTAACTTTTCACTTTCCCATAAATTGCATAGTGTTCCACTGATAATCTTGAAGTAGATTGACCATCTATCTTCTGTTGATCTTTTATGGCCATTTCATCTTCTGTACATTTATAATTGATCACCTTGAATTGGCTTCCTGAGATGGTTTTATTTGTTTAATCCTTTCCGGGTTTTTCGACTTTTTCGATTAAACTCAAAGATCCAACTGGTCCTGTACTTTCCATAGAAACAGAAATTACAGATGATCAAAACTTGAGATCCAGAATTCTGTATCTGAAAATGGAATTTGTTGCACATCCTGCACTTATAGATTACTTTAACAGAAGCAAAATTGATTAGGCATGAGCAGGATATGATGAGAAGCCATGGCATGAATTTCCCTGTGCTCTTCCTACAAGCTTGGAAGTCTTGCTCTGTCTGGTCTAACTGACAAGAACTTGTCCAAGGAAATGGAGTGAAGATGGCAGCTTCCATTTTTACCCACCAAAAATTTTTAGAAAAAGAAAAAAGAAAAAGTAGAACAAAAGATCTCTCTCTCATTATATACATACATACACACACACACACACATATATATATATATATAACCATTAGCAAGCAAGGGAGACAACCAATATTTCATATATTTATGGAAAAAGTTCATAAATATGCAAGACCTAAAAACAACCTTAAGCTTAATTAAATGCACCATGAAAATTTAATAATTAATAAATCTTCTAAGTTGAAAATTTATCTTAAAATTTAAAGAATTTAAATTTCATAAATAGGGTAATTTTTTAATTTAAATATAAAATTTAATTAATATATTTTAATTCTTTAAATTAAAATTATTATTTACCTACACGTTTTAAGTTCTTCATATATAATATCAAAAATTTAAAGTTTGATAATTTTAAACTTAAGCAAAAAATATATATTTTTTTTGAAAATTTAATTATCAATAATTTACTTAAATTGAAATTTTACATTGAATCTCAAAGAATTTAAAATTTTCAAATAAAATTATTTTAAAATTAATATTTACGATGCTTAAATTGAAAAATGGTTCAAGGGTAATGTTTATTCCCAAATTATTAGTAGAGAAATTAGTCCTAAACTTGTCCTTGGCTAGAAAAATCCTACTCTCAGAATCTTATAACCCTGCTGCCAAACAGTCCTAAACCCAATCCACACGAGAAAGAAAAAGACGTCCGCAAAACTGCGAACAGCATATTGGTCTGCTGCGGCCGTCCTTAAATCACAGTCACCGGTGGGAGGTGATCGACACAGCCGCCACCATCAGTCTCAGAAGACACCGATCATCAATACCCACAAGCCCTGTTCGGTGACAAAAGCTCGCCGCTGTTTGGTGACTGTTATTAGTACTAACAGTGTTGTACAGATGGAGGACAGTCTTGCTAAAGAGCTGTACGGTGAAAGTTTGCAACTTTCAGAAAATGATTTGGTTTCTGCATCTGCCGCCAATGGTGAGTTTAATACTTCCTGAGTACCTGATCAATTTATTATTATCATTATTTTTTTTTTCTGTTTTTTCGATTTTTATGTATGCAGACAATATGTAGATGGCATGGAAATCTTTATTGTTGAGTTGAATGGGTAGCAGATTTTTTCTTTTCATTCAGTTATTTCTTTGAGATAATTCCCTCAAGTTCATTTCATACTGTTTTCAGTCTACTAATAGTTAAAGAAGGTGTTTGGATTGACTGATTGCTTTTAATTCTTCAAGTGCATAGGGATTTTAGCTCTAATGAAGTTTAAGCTCATAGTGGATAGAATTTTAAGTGACAAAATTAGTAAATGAACAAAAAGGGTAATTAGTTGCTTATCTCATGAAAGTTATTTAAGAGCAATATCTTGATCAAGGTATTTTGATAAAAAGTAATGGTCAAATTAGTTTTTTTACTTAAAGACTCTATGAAAATTGCTAGTTATGTGACTTCTTTTTTGGGGATTCAAAAATTTTAAGCTTTTAGCACTTCCAAATGTGATTCAAACACTCTAGGTTTTTTCTTTTAACTATGCAAATCTTGTCAAACAAGAACGAACATGAAAACTGTGTGTTTGACATTAAGTCTTCTTTAACGTTAGGTTTTGATGAGGGTGAGCTAGAAGCTGAAGATGGATCTTTGTGGGGTGGTTCTGATGATGAACTAGATAGAGAATCTGATTTGGACAGGGAATGGCAAAGAAGACACGACCAATTCCACACAGTAATTTTATGATCTTTGCTCTGAATTTTGTTTTATATTTGAGAAAATGATGGTTGTTAAATTTTTCATTCTTGGTTGATTGTCAGATTGGATATCGTGATGGCATCATTGCTGGGAAAGAAGCAGCTGCACAGGAAGGATTTAATATTGGCTTTAAGCAGTCAGTGCTTCTTGGATATAAATGGGGGCTTGTGAGAGGTGTTGCCAGGTAAAACAAAGGGAAAACTTTATTTGTTTTAATAATAAGTAAGTTTAAGAAGCAGGTAGCTGGACTTAATGGGACTAGGGCCGATTCACTTTTGATAGAAGGAAAGGTGCCTTGGCGCCTCAACAATCCAAGTGGATTAGTTAATCGTTGCAATGATTTTGATGACCCCAAAAACAGGCACTAGTTTTTCTTTCTTAAATTTTCTTATTTTCTTTTGTTTCAAATCTTATATATTTCTACCATCTGCCTTGTGAAGTGCACTGGCTTGCCTTCCAGATGGGTTGAGAGAGAAGTTGATCGATTCAGAAGAAGAGAGAAACAAATACCAGAAGTTGCATGAATCTGTAAATTCTATATCAACTGGAGATGCACTTAAGTTATTTCATGATGAGGAAAACAAAAAGAAGAGTGTGGATACAGGGGCTAGTTCCAATGGTGGATGCTTACAAGAGCAAAGCTCAGATAACAGATCTCTGGAAAATTATATTGGAGAGCTTCAATCACTTGTTTCTGAATCTCCTGCAATTCGAGTACAATTTGCTGCAGACAAACATTTTCAGCCATAATTTTGTAGAAAATGAATTCTTACTTTTTGAATATAATAAAATCTTGTATTGATATTTCATATGAGATTAACCTTTATCATATTCTAATAAAATTTATATCATCTATAGTTGTTCAGTTACATATCAATTATACAAAAACTCTGAATTGGTTTCAAACTAAAGCCAATTGTTGGTTTTATCTTTGTCTATCTTGTCCCATGGTTTTTGTGAAAACTGATGTCTGGAATTCATGACCCGGACTATGAATCTCTTATGCAGATCTGATATCTGACTGGAGAGTTCAGACCTCTGGTTTTAAAAAAGTTATGTTGTTGTTTCTGTAAAATGACATGGTCCTTTCTTTTTGTTGGGGGGATTTCACATTTGATCTGCAGAATATATATGAGACATTATCTTCTCTCTCTCTCTCTCTTAATGTTTTGTTTATAAATCATTGAGCATCAAGAATACATTATGATTAAGTTAATTGTACTTTGAAGTGACCGTTCTGATTGCCGAATGAATACACAATACAGTTTTCACTAGTCTTCAATCACAATAAGTTGGACATACAGCTAAATACAATATATATATAAGTATTTCATAAACTTAGTTGATCACACTATTATTAGTACATAATCTTGGACAAGTATCAAATAAATTATCAGTATTTGGAGGTAGCAGTTCCTCCTTAACAAGACCAAATAGATGAATAGTTACCACCCGGTTGAATAGAACACAAGATTATCAAGTGGCATTACAAGTACAGTTGAACTCAATACTCGCTAGTGCTTCACCAGCTCATGTATTAAGAGAAATTGCGGCACTGTATCTGCAGCTTTCTTGATACACTTGTTTCCCAATAGGAGCTGAACAACAGGTTAGTTGCTCTACCTTCCGTTAATTTACTCCTAAGACACGGGCCTTCGGTAGCTGACAGTATGCTTTCTACTTTCCTGACTCATTATGATGTAATTTGTTTAATCCCTTATCTGCAGAATGAACAAGGACATAACAGCTTTCTGTTAGATTGTGTCACACTTAGTAGAAACACAAATTGTAGAGTATAGTTGATTTCTTTGATTACCTCTCTGCTGCCACTCTCAATTGCAAGCTTGAATGGGTCTGCCATGAGTAAATGCTGCTGAAGCACGCCTAACTTGAATTTCGCACTTTGGTATTGGCATGACTGCTTCGAAGGCTTCAACAAGTAATGCTACTTTTCTCTTTCTAGCCGGAGCGAGTTTGGTAACAGTTCGTTGGAGAGCATAATCAAGCATCCATTCCTCTGTGTTCCTCCTTCCATCAATATCCTGGTGTTTGAGATCAACCTTCTCTGCATCTGGCTCGGCAATAACAGGCAAATAGTTTGGTTCACGGGGGTTAAATTCCCTTGTTGATTCCTCAGAGTTGTCAGTGAGTCTTCTGCGTCCAATTGTCCATTTCTGAGTGTCGCAGGTATCAGATAGCTCTTGTTTAGATCTTCTTGAATAAGAGAATCTCTTCTCTGAAGTTGGGTTAGTCATGTTACTGGCTGTATGAATTGCTTCTGCTATACCTTGCTGACCAGTTTCACTTTTCCCTTCTGTTTTACCGCTTTCAATAACGCTGGTTTCAGCAGAATGATTTCCATTCATCCCTGAATCACCTTGTGCCTCAGAATCTACCCAGTCTTGGATCCAGAACATCTTACCTTCTTCATCTTGATCTCTCTCCGAGACTGAATGATTCTCAATGTTTGTTGCCTCTTGCAGGTCATGTGATGAATGCTTTTGAGTGTCGGCAGGATGGTTTTCTTCAACAGTATTGTCTGTTTTATTTCTCGCTTCAGCAAGGTCACCATCTGCCATATCCTCAGTGATGAAGTTGGTTTCTGAGGTAATATTTCCTGGTTCAGGAGCTCTACTCTCTTCGGGCTTCTCACTGGCTACAGTTGGTTCAAGAATTGGCTCTTCGGTTACAGCTGCTTCTGTTTCTTGAACTTCGTCCATGGTTGTTATTTCCTCAACTTCATCTTCACAACTAGAAAGTAGATCATATTCTAAGTATTCCACAATCTCCAAGTTTTGGTGTGTCTCATCCATCTCAAAATCACTATCATCAGATAGAACATCGAATCCTGCACTTTGTTCTTCATTCACATCTAGTAGAATTTCATCAGCTGGAATCTCCTTGCTGAAGTCGCTAACAATTTCAATTATGCCGATATTTTTGGCTTCTGCTAAGAGATCAACATCTAAATCTGATTCACCTGCAGTTTCAACTGAATGATCAGCTTCACCATCAGGCTTGAAGTTAGAAAATTGCCCCTCATCCAACTCCATATCTATAATTTCAGAATCTGCACCATCATCTTCTATGCTTGTCTGACATTCACTTTGAAAGTCATCCTCAATATGAAAAGTGATCTGTTTTCCCTCATCTTGATGTGAAGCAGTCAGGTCGTTTTCCCCTGCTTCATGTTTCTTTTCTTCAAGAAAGCTCTCTCTGGTTTCCTTGTCTGTTGGATAGACATAGTTCTCTTCCCCCAAGTCTTCCTCAAGATCAATCTCAGAGTTCAGCAACTCATCAGACAGACTCTCAACAACTTGGGTGTCAAGGAATATTTCCCCCACTGTTTCCTCATTATTGCCTCCGAAAGAAGACATGTCCTGATTTTCTAGTCCTGCAGGATCTTTTTCAGTGCTTCCTCCATTTAATTCAGCTGCATCTTCCTTGTTTGCAGCATAGATTTCAATGAAAAAATCAAAGCTGTTCTCTTTTGTCAAAGGGGACATAGGGTAATTACTCACATCCCCTTCAACGATTTCAGCCTTGTGATCAGAGGCAATCACCTGCCCATTGATGATTTGGGTGAGTTCCTGAGCTGATGGTTTCACTTTGCGCGGGCTTAGAGCTTCACGTCTCATACTTTTTTGAACCCTCAACAAACGTCTCCTAGCTGATAGGAAGGACTTCAATGGAGGCAAAGGAGCATGATGGTGACCGTTAAGAGAACAATAAGTATAAGGACAGACCTTGATGACCGAAGTTCCTTCAGCTTCAGTTCCTCCAGGATTCAACATGAGATATTCTGGGAACTTGCTCTCCTTAAGAGTTGAAGAACAGGTAGCCTTCTGTGAACTCATATCTGCACAAAGAGCAATCTTGGAACATTTCTTGACTGGAGCTCTTGCAGTCTTAAAACTTGGGGACTTTCTCAAACACCTCACCACCTTCAAACTGGATGTCCTTGTTAAAGTTCTTGCAGAACCAGAACCAGAACCAGGGTTTGATGAATTACCTGAACTTCGCCTTGCCCTGGAAGTAGTAACATGTGAGGTCTCCTTCTTTGCCTCTGAACTGCTGGTAGCCTTCATATAATTTGGTGATCCATAAGGTGTTTTGTTGAGAGGAAGCTTCTGTGGTGATCCATGAGGTGCAGGGGTGAGAGGTGGTGGTTTTCCAGGCTGAGATACAGTTTTGGTTAAGGGAATATGATCTGCTGAAAGCTTTATTGATCTTGATTTCTTCATCTTCTTCTTCATCTCAGGTCTTCTGGTCTTGTTATCCTGGTGCTGAGATACTGCTATATCAGTCTTGAGCTTATCAGATTGGATACCAACCTTTCTCTGAACCATCTTGGAAGAGAAAACAATGGTTTGATTTGGTTTGGTAGGTTTTCTGATAGGACCAGGTTTCTCTTCTGGTCTGTTTTTGGGTTTTGGAATACTTACATGGAGCAAGGAACCCAATTCTTGGAGATGAAAACAATATAAGATTCTTCTTTTATTAGCTTATATAAATGTATATATATATATATATATATATAAAATTAAAATCTTTTTGGTGTTTTATTGAATTGGGTGTTGTTAGCAGATCAAACTTGAATAAGGGTGAGATAGGAGGTTGATGCTGACCTACAATGGCAGGTGGGTTTTTGGGTCCTCCTGGTTTGAAACATGGAATTATTACTTTCTTGATATGAGATTTGAACTTCATCCCTTTAAACAAAAAAAACTAATCTTTTTTTTTTCTCTCTAAATTAATCATATTTACTGTTCATTAAGGATATTAACCAGCATTTTAATTAACATCATGCTGTAAAAATCTGCAGTCAAAAAATGGAAGTAAATTTTTCTGATACTGAAATTTTCTTTCTGAAGATTCTGCCATTAATAAGCTTTGTAGTTCATCAATCAAAATCTTTATAGGGGAGAAAAAAATTTGGAATTTCATTAAACCAATATATATTTGTATTTTGCACAATTTTATTTAAAAATTTATTAAAAAGATTAAAATAATTTTGATTTAATTTTTATAAACTGGGTTTTTTTTTTTTTAAATTTTAAATTTTTTGAGTAATAAAAAATAGGAATTTTAATTATTAAAAAAATTTTAATATTTGGGTGGAAATTGTTTTAAAGGTATTTGGGTGGGCGTGGGGCGGTTGTACTTTTAAGAAAAGGAGGAAGGCTGGTGGTCGGTGAAAATGGGTAGGCGGTGGGACCCACTTAATACAGACGCTCCACTATATGTATATATGTATATATATATGTATG